TATTATTATTATTATAAACGATAGAATGTAAAGCATGTAAATATAATAAGGAATATAGTAAGCTAAAAGAAATGAAGAAATTAAATTATTAGACAATTTGAATTCCCGGCAAAACTAAAAGAAAATAGAGAGGAAAAAGAAGAAAAAAATCTTTTAGCAAAACCAAATGCGGCCATTCATCTCAACAAAAAAAAGGAATATATTTATTTATTGAAAAAAAGACAAATTTCTGAATTCGTTCTGAATAGAATGAAATGAAAAAAAAACTATTGAATAGTGGTGACATTGAATGATGAAAGTGAATAATGTTTCAATAACATTTTTGTTAATTTTGATTTAACTATTTTTCGACTACCGAAGAAAAAAATAATAATCATAATCGATTGTTTCAATTATTTGTTTCACATTTGAACAAAAAAAAAAAAAAGAAAACACCAACTAAAATACCATACGAGAATGACACATGCCAAATAATTCTTTAGAATAAGATGTTTATCATGGTGAATGAGAAATGAAAATCACGAGAATATTCTGTTTTTCATACAGATTTAATATATATTACTGGATATACTTTTAATACAGCTAATGAAACGAAATGAAAAAAACAAAACAAAATCATTGACGAAACCAAAAAAAAAGATTAAGTTCGATTCAATGGAAATTTTGATATTTTATTTTTCTTTCATAGCAAAAGTAATAATAATAATAATATAAAAGGAAATTACAGAAAAACATTATCAAATAACGTCATCAACATCAATTATCAAAAACAACAACAACAATAACAATGTTTTGTACGTGTCTCTTACTTTTCGAATCAGGGATCAATGAAGAATGTCAATGAATGAATGAATTAAAAAAAAAGTTTGCCGGAATGATTCTTTTTTTTCGTTTGTGTATGAGAGAATAGTAAGAGAAGAGGATTTTCCGGATTTATCTTCATCTATCTAATAATAATAATAATGATCATGTTTGTATCGTGTAGGTAAATTTGACATTTTTTTCAATTGAAAAAAAATAAGATTTCTTTTTTTTTCTTTTGGACAAGGTGTTGGGTAATCCAACGAGCAAAAATTAGATGAAAAAATATTTGCTTAGATTTTATGTTATTTTGTTTCGGAAATAAAGATAAATATATAGTTAATTGAAAAAAATGATGCAGATTTTTTTTTGCCATTCGTTCACAATATGTTTTGTCGAAAGAGAAATGAAAGATGAAATAAAATTAGTAAAATGAATTTTTTTTTTTGTTTTTGTTGAAAAAAAACATATCCAAGGCATTAGGCAATACAAGTTTTGTGGAAAAAATGAAAGAGTTTATATTACTGAAATGAAATATGAACAAAATTAAAAATTTTGCAACAAAATTCCATAAAATTGGATATTGTAAATGACAAGTTGGTATACAAGGCCAGGCGAAAAAGAATCGTTCACTAAACCACGTGTATAGTTCCGTTGTAAGTTGTATTTGTGTATGTGTTTTGTTTTTTTGATAAAAATAAAATTGGTTTATTCGTAGAAAAAATAACTGTTTTCATATTCAGCCGTGTTGCAATGTGCGTGTGTGTGTGTGTAATGTAATCTAATACCTCTTTGAATACGAAATGTCATTTTTTTACTTTCATTTAATATGTATGCAATATTAAGAACAACAACAACGACAACGAAAAAAAAACTTAATGTGATTCTGTGTAGAAAAACAACAACAAAAATAATAATTCTCATTTGAATTTTTATCATTTTTTTTGTTTTGTTTTGCACGGAAACAATTCTGTTTTGAATCTTTTTTTTCAATCAAAGAAAAAAAATAGAACCAAAAAAACTATCATCATCATTATACAGGCGTATAGCAAAAAAAATTTACTGATACTGTAACAAAGATTGACAAACAATGATCATTATCATTTTTTTTTGGCCCGAGTGTAGGTGTGGTAATGTATGTATCAGCATACAACAAATATTACAAAAAGTTATCGAAACATCGTCATTATTAACCACCAAGTTTGTTGAGAGAAATGGTAAATTCTTTAACGTTGTATAAGAATATGATATGAAATTATTCGGTAAAATGAAAATGATAATCAGGTTGAGAAATAGAGAGAGAGAGAGAGGGTAAGTTTATGATTCGGTCATAGTAAAATTGTTGGCCTTTTTTTTTGTTTCAATTTATCATGCCAAACAACGTTAATGATAATCATAATAATAAAAATAATGTTTCATAACGATTCATTGTTATTATCATTCTAGACAGACAAAACAAAAATAAGAAAACAGTTAGAATTCAGTAGAAAAATGTCAGGTAATAAGAAAAAAATTATTTGATCAATAGTTACCGATTCTGGGATAATGGAAATTTCGCAATAAAAAAAAATAAAAGGCAATGACTTTCTTAAAGAACAACCCCTGTGTTTATCTGTTTGGACAATATATTTTCCAATGAAAACAAAATTGTATTTAGATAATAAATCATAATTTATAGACAATCATACAGACAGAGAGACATACATCTGGAATTTAATGTGATTTTATTCTACTTTTTTTTTTGTCTGTAGCCGAAAATTCCTAGAATATACGATTTTGATAATCACCTTGATCGTTGAACAAATTAAACTGAAAATTATTAATAATTTCAGTCGAAAAGAAAATTCGGAACCAAAAAAAAAAAATAGCCAATTAAAATTGATGGATTGAACAAAGGAAAATGACATTTTTTTTTTGCTGAACGATAACGACATCTGGTGATAATTTCAAAAAATTCAATTCAACTTTTTTTCATTCGAATATTTGATTCCATGACATACACACAGAATCAAAAAGAATCAGATTAATCAATCATTCAATCATTTGAATGAAAAAGATTAATTCAGAATTTTTTTATTCATTCACTTCTTATTTAGTTTAAATTCGTCCAAAAATAAAAATAAAAATGATTTATATTATGAATAATCAATTCCAATATCAAACCGTTATTACAATCGACAACAAACAAATTCACATAAACAGTTTGTATTGAACAAAAAATTCTTTACTTTTCTCTTCGGTTATTGTTGAAAATGAACAACAACTTTGTGTATTGGATAACGGTGAAAAAAAATATATAAAAATAAAAATCTGAATTTCAAATTCATCGTTATGTTTGCGTCGTCATTATGCTTTTTTCTTTTCTTTCTCTGTGTGTGTGTTTGTTTCCATCATCATTGAAAGTTTCAAAGCTCATCAACCGAATGAATTTGGGATTCGGATTTTTCTTTTTTTTTTTGCCTTCATACTCATCTTCGGGTATTGGATTCAAAGCTGTTTAATTTTATGGCTTACGAAAAAAAAACATCCATATACATTGTTGTTTATATTCAAATAGGATTTTTTTCTCTAACTTTCAATATATCTAACTTGCATTCGATTTCAAGTTTCCAAGTTTTTCTCTCCATTCCACTTTTCCCTTTTTTTGGAAAAAAATATTCATAATTTTTTTTCTTGATGTTGAAAATTATAATGATGATGATGATGATGGCAATGATGATGACAGCTACGCATGAAACTGATTGATAGATGGGTTCATTTGTCTTGGGATTTTGTTCGGTATAGTTCGGCTCCCAGAAAAAACTATGGAGAATTATTAACATTTTCATTTATCATATATAGGAAACTTTATTTCTGTATATGAAATGATGATGGCAATAAAAACTTCTTTTGAGTGTTTTCAAATATTATGTTTAAAAAAATGTAATATTTTCCAATTTGATGATGCGTATGATACAATGAAAAGCAAAATGATATATTTTTTTTTGTTCCAAAAAAGTTTACGACATTTTAATATTCGTATATCTAATCTATGATTTTCATAAAACTATCAATGAAAAAAAATTAATCTGAAAAAAGATGTATAAAGATGTTTTTTAACTTCAAGAATCGAATATAAATGATAGACCAAATTAAGAAATAAAAAGTTAGTAATTCTAGTTTCAAACAAAAGGCGGTGTTTTGTTCGAAGATAAAATTCTCATCGAAAAGATGAGATAATGAAATACAATCATTCAAACAGTCAATAGTGATTAGAATCAAGGAGAAAAAAAATTTCAATACGAAAATAGCTATAGAAGTGAATGTTGAAAATTAATTGTGCCCATGTGGAATCAAAAATTTTGTTCCTTTTGTTTCATATAGTGTTGAATTTACTTTGATGAGGCGTTTATTTCTTTTCATTCTTTGTAATTGGACCCAAATTTTTCTCTTATCTTGCTCATTATCTCTATCGCTAACATTAATTAATTACAAAATAAAATGTTGGGTGTCACACAAATTCTCAGCCAGAATCAATGTTTAGGCAATAATATAAAACGATCACACATTTAAAAGAAGATTATGGTGTCGGTTTAAGATTTATTAAGATTTGGGTACCATCAGATCGATCATTGATAATAATAACAATGTGATTCTTTTTTTTCTACTTCTTTCAATTTCGAGCTTTTTTTTGTTCGGTTCATTTCATGGTATATCTATGGTCAAGAACTTTTTCCTTTTTCTATCTATGTTTGTATTGATTAATTGTGTGATCTAAAGAAAAAAAATGATTCGATATTTGTTTTATCTCTCTTCGGCTATTCTATTTGTTGTTTATACCATCATATCAATAATCGAAAGAGTCATTGAAAATCAAGAAGAAAAAAAATTATAGTATTTGGCTTGAACTAAAAGAAATTACATTTCTTGCTTGCATAGCAATTATATACAACCAGAAAAACAAAACAACCAACAAAAAATTATTGGAAACATTCCTGAGGCTATCATCATGATGATTTTTGTTTGCTTGTTTTTAAAAAGAATAATCAAAAAAAAAAAAAATGAATTTATTTCATCGATTCAATACATTTTATACGTTAATACAAATACACAACAAAAAAATTCACATTTTTCATTTAGTCAAAGAATGTTTAATAAAAGAATCCGAAATATAATGAAAAATAATATGAAAAACAACAAAATATTATATGGCCACTTACTTTGTATTGCTTCGGTTGATCCAATGATAATGGATACAAATATAATGGTAATGATAATGATTATTATGGTCCATGGTTTTTGGTTCGTCCAATCAGAATTAAAATAATGATGATGATGATGATAAAAATGTTGATTATGATTATGGCAAACGGCTATTCTTTTGTTATTCTTTAAAGAATTAATCGAATGATAATGAAAATAGTTATTTGGATGGAATTCCGTTTGGAATGTGGATGGAAAACTGAAATATCTGTCTATGTTATCATCATTGCCATCAGCGTCGTCATCGTGAACGGTAGAAGGAATTTGAATCTGATAGTGGAATTTCATCATGTTTTTTTTCAAATTACATGTTCCAATGCAGTGAAAATAACTGTTTTTCTTTTTCGACCTCTATTTAGAAGATCGATTCCTATGTATTAATTTCCGAGTTCACGACGTGTGAAGTTATATGGCAATTTTTTTAGGTTTTGAAAAAAAATTAAGCCGCCTCAGGTTTTATTGTGGATTCATAACTTTGAAAATAAAAAGAATTAACATCATGAAGAATATTAATCGATTTGTTTGAAAAAAATGAGAAAATTTTTTTTATTTTTGTTATCAAAATTTTCTAATTGAAATAGAATGGAAATTTTTCATCTTAAAAAAAAAATAAAACAACAACGATAATTCTCATTCACGATATTCAATCATTTTCAGCTACTATTTCTTTTTCCCAAACAACATCGATTGTCAACAATGTTTTTTTTCCAGTTTTATTCAGGAGAATTTCATATTTAATCAGCAATAATTATCATCAATGTCATTCGAAATTATAATTAATTTTAATAAAAATTTTATTTTATTATTTTCGACGGTTGATAATTATGAATTTAGTAGTCTTCTTTTTCAAACTGTTCATGCAGGTTATTGCCAGAATTCGTTTTTGTTGTCACCAAAAAACATTGAAAACATTATTTTCCATTCATCAAGTCATTCGTATCATTCCTATATTAATGAATAAAAATAGAATAAAATAAAATAAACATTAAAAATAAATAAATATTTATTGAAATACGAGCAGTTGTAAAGAAAAAAATAGTAAAAAACAAAACATATCTCAAACGTTTCGAAACAAATATTCTGGGAATTCTGAGAATCCGGAATATTTTTGTTCATTTATTGTATGACTGTGTATAGTCTATTTTCGTTTCATTGTTTTTTTATTCTTTTGAAATTTAAAATTAAAATTTTTTTCTTTATTTCTTCTCAAACGTATATATTAAAAAATCAATTGAATGAATTGATAAAATTTTTTCACAAAATCCAATACAAAAGAACCAAAAAAAAACTATTTACTTGATTAGAATAAAATACTAAGTTAAAAAGATTGAAATGAATTACTATCGAAATCAAAAAATCATAGAATTTGATGCTGTTACAATTCTTGTATGGATGAAACAAATAAAAATTATGATAATATGACAATATTGAAGTTGACTGATGATGATGATGAAATATGAGATCAATGCTACAACCAACCAACAAAAAAAAATCTTTCATATTTTTTTCCACAATAAAAATGAATTGAAAAAGCAAAAGTTCAATCGATATCAGTATTTATTTAATCTTTTATGATATTTCCAATGATTTTTTTTCCATTTCGTTCGGATCCCCTTATCAACATTAAATAATGGTTACCAAGCTCACAAAAAACAACAACGACAAAAACAACAAGTTGTCTTTTTAAAACTTTTTCTGTCCAAACTGTCGATCGTTGATATTTTTTTGGTTGTCACTAAACTAAAGTAATGATAACAACATAAAACATTGACAAAGAATAATAGGTACAATTTTCTTTTTTAACGGTAATTCTGATATAAAAATTAAATGAAAAATTTCTTTTTTAAAAAAACTTTTGAAATTTACTGATAATGTTTGGGCGAGAAACATCCATCAAAAAAAAAAGGAAAAAGTTTTTTTCTGGCTTATGAAAAAGACAATAATTAATCAAGCTGTTTGAAACTTTTTCCAGAAATTTTTCCATTGTTGGAATGAAAATGTGATCCCAGGAACTATCTTGATTCGTTCTTATCAACTGCCAAAAAAAATGTCGAGACTTTTTTGGATCATAACATGAAAATCCATTGTTTTTGATAAAAAAAATCCATTCTTTTGCGCCATCTACATTCGAAATTTCAAAACGACAAAATGTACTGAAAAAAATTTTATACCAAGTACAAATTATGGAAAAGATTTGTACCTTCATATTTCTAATTATGAACAACAATTTTAAATATCCGATTATCACTAAGTGATATATGGATAATTATCATATGATATATGTTATCAATTTGTTTGATTAATAAAAATGAACAAATAATTATGATTGAAATCGAGTGCTAATCAAGGACGATTTGTCAAAAAAAAAGTGGATTACAATTGTTTGTCAATATAAATACTAAATCATTATGCATAACAAAAATGATTTGTACTCATCAAATTGTAAACAACAACAAATATTACAAAATATTACAAAATGGACATAATTAATGATTTAATCAATTCGATTGGTCGTACCGGTTTTTTCATTATTTTAATATCAGTGTTATATTGGTAATTATTAGCTGAATTAAAAAGTTGTTTTTAAATATTTTAAAAATTTCATTTTTGAAAAAAAGGTACATCCGAACAACATACAGTTATTGGAGTAGTAGAGGTATAAATGGTCCACCAATTGTACCATTTTTGGGAAATTTTTTTCTTCCTCACAAACCGATTGCATTGTTACATCAGAATTATATTCGAAGATATGGAAAATTTTTTGGGTAAATATTCCATTCTTAATTTCTGATTATTTTTTTAAAACATTTTCGTTAGTATGTATCAAGGACGAAAACCAATCCTATGCATTGCCGATCCTGTCATTATCAAACGAATTTTGGTACAAGATTTTCCAATGTTTCGAAATCGAATTAAACAAACAGTTAGACATAAAATTTTTGCACAAAATCTAGTCAATGCACGTGATGAGGCATGGAAACGCATTCGATCAATATTATCACCGATGTTTACAAGTTCAAAAATGAAAAAAATGGAATCTATGATTGATCAATGTGCCGATTCGATGATTCATGTGCTGGATAATTTTGCCAAAAAACAAGAATCATTTCTCGTACATAATGTTATGGGAAATTTTACGATGGATGTTATTGCTAAATGTGCCTTTGCAACGGATACTAACGCTCACAATGATAAGGAGAATATTTTTGTAAAAAATGCAAGATCGTTTTTCAATTTCAATATATTTCGAATGTCTTTGCTCACATTTACTCCATCTGTCTTGATACAATTTTTTGCTAGATCCAAAATACCACCATATCATTCAAAAACTACAGATTTTTTTATGGATATGTCATCACATGTTATTCAACAAAGACGTAAAAATGAATCAAAACAACATGAAGATATGCTAGAATTGATGATTAGAGCTGAACATGGTAAAGATAAAAGTTTTGAAAAAGATGATAAATTCGATTCACATCACGTTAATCAAGGTAAGAAAAATAAACAACAATGTGATGTTAATATTTTGATTAACTTTTGATAGATGAAGAAGAAATACAGCAAGAGAAAAAGATTTTTCAAGAAATTATTGGATCAAAATTTCTAAATGAAGAAGAAATCATAGCACAGTCTATGATTTTTCTTCTAGCTGGTTACGAAACAACAGCATCAACCCTGACATTTTGCATATATGAATTGGCTAAACATCCAGAAGTACAGAATAAACTTTATGATGAGATTAAAACTATCGGTGATTCCTTGGATCTGAATAATTTGATGAAATTACCATATTTGGATGCAGTCATTTCGGAAACATTACGCAAACATCCACCTGCTTTGGCTTTAGGACGAGAAGCAATGGAAGAATATCATATACCAGAATATAATTTTACGATAGAAAAAAATCAGGCCTTAATTATACCGGTATATGCTATTCATCATGATCCACAATATTATCCTGATCCAGAAACATTTAATCCGGATCGTTTTCTACCTGAAAATCGTCAAAACATTATACCTTATACTTATCTACCGTTTGGTGGTGGACCAAGAAATTGTATCGGAATGAGATTTGCATTATCCGAAGCAAAATTAGGTTTAGCTAATATACTCAAAAATTTTATTATTGTATCCACGGATAAAACCTGTGACAAATTAAATGTGGAAAAAAGTTTTTTCCTTATGAAAACCACACCCATTTATGTGGGAGTAAAGAAACGAACTTAAATGCCATCTATTATCATGTTTTTACAAAAAGTGAAAAAAAAGATTCAATACAAAACAAAAGATGGCACAAGAAATTGAATGTACCAAAATTTTTCAAAATAAAATCCCGAAATAATAAATTAAAATGAACAACAACAACAAAAAAAGAACTTGTTTTATTGAATCTTCAAAATCATTTGACATGTTTTTGGAATCTTATATTTGCAAAAATCTTAAAAACTTTTAGCTCCTACACAAACATTGACAACAAGTCCTTATCGTTGTTGAACAACAAGATAACTGGTACACAAACACTTTTCACACAAGAAAAAGAAGAAAAAAACTTCTTAGGTGAACCAAAAAAAAAGAATGTTAATGAATTGCCACCATCCTATCAAAGTAATATTGATTTTAAGTGTTAGATTTCAAGAAAACAAACATAACCATAAACATTTGATAATTGATATGAAGCGAAAAGAATTTTTGTTATCATCTTGTTTTTCATTAGAAGTCATTTATATTTCATTTGAATGGGTGATATGAATGAATTTTTTTTTTTAAAGATTTTGATCATCATCATTATTAACATCTTCATGGAATGAAAGAGTTAATCAAAAGGAGCCAAAAAAAGAATCAACCGTCTTATCATCTTCTTATTTTATGGCAATTGGTTTTTATCAAACTTTTTAAAATAATTTCATTAATTAGTGTCCAATGCTGTAAATTAAAATAATATTCACCAACGCGCAAATCAATAGTAACGATGGTGATTTTTATCTTTCCAATTTTTTCATCAAAATCTTAAAATAAAGTGATGATCAGAACGAAAAATCTTTATTCATTCAACCTACGCAATCAAAAATAATTGGTATTCAATTCGATTAAAGTCAATGATGATGATGATGAACATTTTGTTTCGAATAAAAATAAAATTTCAAACATTCTAAAATAACCATAGATTCTATGATAAAAATATATTTAAGGCAATCATTGTACACACAATGTCAATGACAGATATATCCGAAGGATCATCAAATTATCGGTGATTTCAATCACTTTTTTTATTATTATTAATCAAATGTGCATAGGAAGAAGAAGAATTAGAGGAGAAAAATATTTATAATAATGAAGATGAACGGAAATGACATTGACATAAAATTTTTTAAATGTCGAATGATGTTTTTTTTCTGTATCCGAAAATGATAATAATAATTTTATTATAAAATCTTCATTCAAATTCTAGAATTCAAGATTCTTTTTTGAATAATTACATCCGAGTATATAGAATCCAATAAGTTTTTGCCTACACACATAACTAATATTTACTTGAATGATTTTTTATGAAAATGTAATGGGAGAAAATTAAAAAAAAAATTAAACGGAAATTTTAAAGTTCCTGTTTTGTTCTGCCAAAAAGATGTCACAACCACACACATACACATACATAAACAGTGCGAACAAATCCGTTCAACAACAAAAAAAAAATAGAAAAGAAAAGAAAAATTTGTTGATCTATTGGACCGAAAATAGATTAAATGAGAAAATGCTAAACATACAACTTGAAATTGTTTGAAATGAATTTTGAATAAACAAGAATTGATCAAAGAAAAAAAAACAAGTTTTTCCTCATTTTGTTATTATTATTTAAAAATCTAGTCGATGATGCTAATTATTCTGATTTTTTTTTGCTATTCAGTTCCGTTTGTTTATTGTTCGCATCATTTGTTTTTTGTTTTGTTTGTTTGCATTAGGATTCTTCTTGTTTTTTTTCCCTGTTATGTTTAGGATAATATACAATTAGAAATAAACAAAACAAGAACAAAAAAAGTTCATTTCACTGAAGGAAAATACAAAACAAAAAGACAAAAATTTGTGGGTGAAAATGATGTTACGTTGTAGTTGCAGAAGGAAAAAATTGAAATCATCAATAGAACATATATATAGCTTGACCTGAACATTAAACAAGTATCTTAAGCATCATGATACTTAATGTCATTCTATTGAGTATCAACACATAATTTGGACACATTTTCAAACTAAAAAAAACAACAACAACAAATGTCGATAATAAACTAGGTACAAAATACAAACAAACAAACAACAACAACATTATCAATTCGAAAAATCATACCAAAGAAAAACCGAGTTGGATTTGATGAGAAAAACAAATTTCTCTTTTTTTTCTATTTCTCCAGTTTTAAACATCGTTACATGGTTGAATGTAATTAAGATAAATCATAGTGAAACATTAAACTTGTATTCATAATATATCGTTACACATATATAAAAATCCATATACAGACCAGAAAAAAAAGGAAGATCTATGACCAAATCTAATAATCATTGTAATATTTTGTTATGCGTTTTTTTTCCATTTCGAGTATTTTTTCCATTTTTCCATTTTGTACATCGTTATTCATTATGATTATCATTATGATAATGATAATTATTAGAATTCATAAAAAAACAAGGGTTAATAATTAGCTTACTAGAATCATAAGTATGTATCTGTGTATGTCAAGCTTTGAACAAGTCATGAATTTTATCATAGATAATAATAAAAAATACTCTACAGTGATGTGTAAATGACAATGTTTTGCTGTATTTTTTTGAACCAAAAAAAAAATGTTCATCAAATCAGGATTCACAGAGAAAAAGAGAAGTATATTTCGTTGAATTGCACTTAAAATTTGTTTTTCAAATTTAAATTGTTTCCAAAAAAACTTCGGATTACCTGCTTATTAATATTTTTATATAATGACAGTTGTAATAAAAGTTTTTCATTTCTTTGTTAAAAATAAAATTTTCAATCATTTTTTTTCAATTGTATTTTTCTATTCACCGTCATACAGTCAACGAATATTGTTATTATTTTTTTTTCTGATCAAGATAACTATTTCCGAAAAAAAAAATCGAATCAGTTTCTGTTGCCAAATTAATTTCTGCCAATTTTATTCCCGATTCAAACTTTGAAACTTTATTTCAATTACAGAATGATAAAACAAAACAAAAAAAAATGACTATAATTTGGATAAAAGTTTTTTTTTGTAGCAAATAACTCTTTGAAATATGGGAGAAAAACTTCGATATGCAAGAATAAAATTGTCGATCCAGGAAAAAAGTAAAAAGTATACAATATTATTTATCACATCGTACTGTTATAATTAAATTTTCACATTTGTTCGGTATGCGTGTGTAAGCATTATTATCATTTTTATAAATTTGTATATGATACAAACAAAATGAATTGAATCATAACGCCCGGTTGTTATTTTTTTCACTGTTTTTTGTTTGAATTACACGAATTAAAATTCTGTTGTAAAAAACAATCTAAAAATAGGCAACAAATTTTTTTTGCCGACCGCTAACAACAGTGATAACAATGACAATGATTATTTAGCTTCGAGGCTTTGTCAAACTGAATTAATTGTAATAATGTGATATCGAAACTTTTTAATTTGTAGCTAATTTGATTTTGATGAAAAGTTTTTTTATGTGTTTGTACTTTTTTTCCTTTAGTAGAGACTGTATATTCTCGAAACCTGATTTAGGTAAAGTAGTTTTACGTTTTTCAATCATTCATTCAAATTGTCGTCTTTATTTTACCACATCAAAGTTGTTGTAGTTGTCAACGAAAGTAAAGCAAAAAAAAATTCTCGGTATATGTTGACAAAATGTTTTACGTGCATAAAATTCTCAATCAATTTCTCAAAAACATCGAATTTGTCTATGCAAATCACATTGGACAATTTTGTCACTGTTGTTGTTTGGTTTTGGCTGCTGTTGTTCATCCATGGAAACGATTCTTTTTTTTCTAACCAGAATACCAAAAGAAAAATAATTTTTAACTTTTTTTTTCTATACACATACAATTTGAAAATGTTCAAGTTAGAATACTAATAAAAAAAAAGAAACGAAAGAGAAAAAAATTCTGAACTTTTTTTTCAGTTATAAAAAAAACTAACATATTTTGAATAAGAAAAGACAGACAGAATGGAGAGAGGGTAGTGAATTGAAAGTTCACTACATACACATCGAACGATGAACAAAGAAGTAAGGAAAATGAAAAATTTCCATTTTGACCAAATTTTTTCTTCCATCTTCATCATTCAACTAACGATTTAATATTGATTTTCCATTACGAAAATGTTTGAAGAAAAAAAAATGCAAAAATACATCAAAGTTTAGGTTTATTGTTGTTGTTTTTTTTTTGAACAATAACCAATGATTAATTCTGTCAAAGTAGATTGGATAAAAAAAAAGAAAACAAAACAAAAAATACTTTTCAAATTCTGTGGTATTCTTCGATTTTTAATAGTACCCATGTTATTGACGACGACGACGATGTAGAATAATAATAAAAAATAATTAAAACATGAAAAAAACAGCAAAAATTACAACAACAGTTGAATTTTAAAGTGAAAAAAATATTCCACAGCAACGTCGAAAAAAAATTCAATGTAAATCCAAAATGAGTAATGAAGAATCAAGAATTTCAATTTAGATCGATTTTTTTTCACTTCGAAAACTACATATCGGAGAATTGAAATTGTTTTTTGTTGTTGTTGTTTTGTTCATCAATCTTGTATTCATTCTTTTCCATCATTATTGTTAAAATCGGAAATTTTGTTGTTCCTCTTCTTTCGAGCGTTAACTTAACGTACCTTTAGAAAATTAGAAAAACAATGACAAACAAAACAAAACAAAAAAAAGTTAATTTTTTTCCATTTAAACGAAAGGTTAGTGTTGATATAATGATGATGATTAAGATAGAAAGTAAACATTTGAACGTCATAAACATTTAAAAATTTCGAATCATTAATTTCTTTTTTTCCTCTTTTTGAAAAAAATAGAATAGAAGAATTGTATAAAAAGGGAAACCGAAATGGATAACATCAGATACTGATATCGTGGAATGCTTTTTGCTGAGAGACACAGAACACATCATCGTCCAAGCAATAACAAATATTTGAAACAAAACATTTCATTCAACAACAATTCATTGTAATTGTTGTGTGTTGTTTTTTTATGTAATTT